TTGAGTCGAATGAATAGCGCCGGTATCCCTACTTTCATCAACATTGGTCAGAGAACAGGAACGGCACCATCATTGTGCGAATACCCACAATGGTGCTGACGAAGCTTGTGTCGTGTCTCGTGCTCAAAATCGCTCTTCCCATACCTGAAGAGCCGATGACGTTGGTTGTTGAATATTGTGTTTGTACTTGCTGAGCCTGAAGGAAGAGTTGACAGGGTGCGCGCTTGTCTGCTGCGGCCTTTCGATTGCCGGCTCAGAAGGTTGTTACCCGTTGGTGTACGAGACGGATGCACAGCATTCGTGATGGCAAACAGCCCAAGGATGGGACCATACAGAAACGGAAACTGCGCAGTGCCCTGTGCAGGCTCGGTACGCGGGTTCCTACACTTCGCTGAGACGTCATCTGTACGAGTATGAGCAGACCTTGAGTGAGATTTGACATCAAATCACACTAGTTCTGGCTTTAATCTCTCGGACATGTAATGGATATGAATTTGTCGTAGATGGACTTGTGGATGGTGCAGTTCAAGCTTCTTGTGGTCCTTGCGTAGATTCCGGCCTCTTGTGGCAGCTCAGAATAGCTACGCAAATTGGCAAACGGCCACCACCGACAGTAGTTTTGGGGTACGAATTATTCAAAGTGCATCACAACGAGAATAAGTCAACCGGTCACCAACATATGGGATCCGATGTCCGGCAGAGGCACATTGTCGTGTGTTAAATAATGACGCACACGTTGGGTGACGACAAACAGCGTTGTTGCATGTTCGCTGACGGTAAGTAACCAGAGGAAGAAGCTGTTAATCAAGGTTAGCCGGATGTTCATGGTCGTAGGCTAGCTAGGGCCGTGATGCATTCCTTCTAAAATATCTAGGTCGCGAACTAATTCTCGATTTGCTGAAAACCTTAAACTGGTTAACAAAAGGCTTAAGATCCCTCCCAAAATATATTAGAAGGCAGGGCATAGAGTGAACGAGCAAGACGGAATAAACCACGTAGGTACTAGAGCTGATGTTTAAAGGTATGGTAAGATATGGTTGGCAGCATCCGGTTTCGGATTTGCCTGTCACTGTGTCCACCCACAGGACGCCTGCGCCTACAGAGGGACCATGGGTGGCTTGCGCTGCACCACACGCAGCTCCAACCACACACCCCATATCTAGTGCAAACCCGAAGGAATAAGACCCGTAGGCTAGTGGATGGGAGCCACGTTTCATCAACGGAGCCGGCCCACATTCCTTCACAGGCAAACACAAGCACGCTGTATTTGGGAAATCAAGTGCACACAAGGCGGTGGCTGGACCGTAGTCCGCTCCACACTGAGTGCATGGAACCACTCTTCGAGCCTAACACGGCCACAAGAACCGTGCACCCCGTCCCCTCCAGCAACGACCAACTATCTCCTGGAGCCAGTATGAACGATGTAGTGGGTAATAGACAGGCAGGCACCTTGTCAACATGCACATCCAGCGCAGCCACACTGTGGATATCAAGCAACAGCCATTCACTTGAAACAACAAGATGAAATAAAATAAATCGAATAATGCATACAGGTACGGTGGTATAAATCTGCGCTAAATTACCATATGAAGTAAGTTGGTTATCAACGAATTCGTGATAATTAAGCAATGTCCACAAGTTAGTTAAAAATGCCAAAAACGCAACCAAGTTTCCGAAGATAAGCGCAATTAGCGTAAGCAACTTGGCCAGTTAATAGAAGATTATTCATGTAGGCAGAACAAACGAAATAAAGTGGAATTAAATTTATCCAGCTAAAAGTGACCTAGTTTAAGTGTAAGTTGGTTTAGCCCAACTGCGGTGAAGAAGCATCAAGAACGCAACATCAGCCTCAGCATGGGGCATGGTGAGCTAAACGCTGTCAGTAACTCACATACTGTCATGCGATACTAAGTTGGTTGTAAAACGACCAAACATAAGCTCCAGTAAGCATTCCCATGCATTATTAATCATTATAGCATTGTCAAGATCAAATTATTTTTGACCCTCAAGCGAAAGTGATGCAAAATAAAGGAATCATAAACTTAAACAACACGTTTTAACCCATAGCAAAAGTCTGCATACTGTGTCCAAGGGAACATTTATTACATTCATTTTAGTCGTGACTTTACTTTCTACAAATTTATTACATAGACCTAACTGAAGTGTTGGCATGTTTGGCGTACATGTATACGTGGATCGAGCTTTTCAGCAACTACCTGAACTATTCTGGAGCTCTGTGATTTGCTCATTGTTGTATGCAGAAAATTGGGCCATACTAGCCAATGCTTCAAAGGAGGCTCTAAAAGCAACTAAATTGCTGCGGTACAGTTCTAAAAGTGAACATCCATTGTCAAGAGGTTTATATCGGCAAAAAGATCTGCGAAGCTGAATCCGGAGTATTGTCTCGCACTTTTTATTTGTTTGGCTAACTCAATTAGGTTACAACCCACAAAGTCGACTACCAATCCGGAGAATCAGCAGACGATCGTTTCGTACCATTGGGGCTGGTCAGTGGTGTGTGTTTCCTTGGTCCCCTGCTGGGGATCGAACCGATGACGGCTAGTGGCTTGCATCACTAGCCAGCAACTTAAACCACTGAGCTATGGGAGACGATAGTCCGACCATTACGGATGGAAAGCTCACTACGTATAGCCCGGCTCATCCTCTACTGTCACGCAGGTTGGATTCAACGACCATGAATCAACTTGCTATGACAATGAAATAAACTTATAGGACAAAAGAGTACTACGAATTAGGAGGACGAAAAGATAGTGGGAACACAGCCAGTCAAGAACAGATGTTCGAGGTAAAAAGGTTCTAGATCAAATGCAGCAGTTCCATTGATTCCGCGACTGCAGTGCGTCTGGAAAATTCTCCTGCCTGCGTAAAGTGGACTTGTTCTTTGGGTTATATTGCGGTGAACCGCCTGTATCAACTTGACTGACACACATAGTCAGTTTCTTGGTGTTGTTTTACCACACCAACTATCGATCACCTTGAGGTTTCGGTCAAATAAGCGTAAAGTTGGCGACGCATGAACTCCGAGGAGCCTAATCTACAGGATTTCGTCGTATGTGAACTGTCCAAGTGCGAATAACAGGCGAACGCTGCACCAGAATGTTCGTCGCCAGCCACCAGTTGTTTGACTTAATGATGCGCATTAAGTGGTCCCGTCAGTTACCAGCAGTATTGAGCCATTGGGTGAAGACAGCCGAGCTCTTGATACCATCCTTGCAAAGTGGAAATGATTTGAATTCAAAGTTTTGCTCCGTGTTGTCATCTTAGCCCTTAGGTGAATTAAACCGAAAAATCACAGGTCTTACTGAGCCACACAGCAATACCTTTGGGGATTTACCTGCACATCATCATCATCATCATTACACACGTCAGACAGAGGTGGGAAAACACTTCCGCTTTTGTGCCGCAATAAATGAAGGAAATACATACATACAAATAATACAATACACAAAGGAAAAGTAGATACAACAGTTTCATGCCAACTGAGTTACCAGCAACGGATAGGCATCGTTCCGGTAAGCTACCAGCCAGCTACTAGGCAAAAAGGAAGAATTTTACTATGTTTTACCCTACGAAATGAGATCGTAGATGGAGGGGGAGGCTAAAAGGAATGGGAAGGGACAAAGAAACTCACAGCACGAACGCCACTGAGGTCGGCTCCTTGCCATGTCAGCAAGTGTATCCAGCCAAACGTGTTCACCGTCTTTTGGACCCCAACCGGGGAGCAGTGACGCTCCAACCGAGGCTAGGTCCGAAGTGAGGGACTTCATTCCCCTGGAGCAAGACATCGCTTGGCCACCTCTCCTCTTCTTCCACCCACATCCCCGGTGAGCAAACAACGCATGTCGAGGGAGTCGGTGAGCTGGCATGCGTAACACGTGGCAGAGCCATCGGAGCCTGGTGCAGGAAATAACGGTGCTGAGCGGTTCAGATCCTTTTCCTGTCCCGTAAACAATGCGTCGAACACGCTCGTTACTCACGCGGTGTTCCCACCAGATATGAGTCAAACTGCGAAGGCACCCGATAAAATTATCGGGACAAATTAATCGATCGCTTACTGACTCTGAGTGTGCGTTGGAAATGGGCACACTGGACTAGTAGCGTACTAATTGTATTTGTAACTTAGTTTTGTGAGGTGTGCGTTGAACTTGGCAGCGCTGTGTGTCAGTTCATCGACAGACAGGTGGCTGGCTCCAGCCCCTTGACCTCATTGTGATTTGTCACTCTGTGAGCAAACGGGACCGTACTGCATAAAGGACAGAAAGAACAGAGATGTTCATCTTCTGAGCCAGTAGTAGATTTAGAGTAGGACATTCCACGTGTTCCGTTGAACTCAAAGAAGTTCTCCTCCCATACCAGAATGCTACCACTGGCAAAACTTCCCTGGCACTCACAAAACTACGGTCAACCTCAAGTGCACTAGATCGGTCGAATCGAACAAAGCCTTAGAGCTAAGGTAAACTCTCGTGCTAAACAGTTTGATCGAATGGATTATCTCAAAATCCTGACGAGTTACGCAAATACCGTTGATGCAACCTCTGTCAGAGCGGAAAGTCACCTTGCACAGATCTTGACAACATGAATCTACATGCTTTACCATCACACTTGTGCGTACTTATCAGACCCATTAAAAGCAGATGAGGTCCAAAAACCTCTCTATCGAAAGCGAGGTACACACCAACTAGATGACTATTGGTCTTAGGCAGTGAAACTGCTATCCCATTAAACGCAACCGCTCACCTATCGTTTACAAAACGCTCAAGGAACCAAGGCAGCATGAAATTGGTTCTGCTGAGAATATTGTGTTAGTGTAGCCTTCTGCCCCAGAATACGTAGGCTGGCTGAATGAGTACATTTTAACCTCATTTGGGGCTAGGAATAAGTGGCACCCACATGTTACTCCTTTTATAGCCTACAACGCAATACCACGCTTCCTGATTGGTGTGGCTACCATTCATTGATATTAAATAATTACACCATAGTCAATCACTCACTTTATTGACAAAAGGGGGACATCCATATTCCGCTCCGCCGTAGAATGTGAAACCCCACGGACGCTCTGATGTGGGTCGTCGAAGCGATATGGTCAATGATGGGCCGGTCTCTGCGGCAATCACATGGGACCCTATATATGGTGTGCTGATTGAACGTTTGCGAGCAGAGGCGACGTTTGCTGGGTGTGTGAACGGGGGATCAATATAAGCCGAAGGAACCGAGGAATCTGGGAAGTCACTTAATGGCAACGCGTTCGGATTAATGATTGGCCTGTTTGGCGGTACGTACCAACTAGGTGCGTTGGTCTTCTTCACTGGTAAGCTTCTGTGGTAAATGGAGCTCTGGGGTTGACTGGTCCGCCGCTGGAACTGCAATTGTGGTGGTTCGTGGGTCACGCCGTCCTGAACACTTAGGTCCATGAAGTCACTCGTCATACTACCCATTCGGTCATGTGACTGAGAGTTCATTGCTGGCACAGCGTTTGAAACCACTCTACCCTGGGCACTACCGAAATGTTCAGTGACTGTGTGTGTTGCTTCCGAAGACCTAAGCGGCTTTTGAACACGGTCTTTTTGTGGTACTCCAGAGTTTATCGTATCGCCATCAGCTTCTTTTGTGGTGGATGGCCATCCACTTTTAACCTCTGTCTCTTCGGATCGCTGCTGTGAGTCAAAGTTTTTCAGTGAGGGGGGCAGTACTGCTGAAGTTGCGTCAGATGTCTCACTATCCAATTTACCTGCCTCCATCATCTTTATTTCCGAATTGCGTTTATTCGTCACTTTGGCTTCAGTTTCCTTAGGCTCAGAGATGGATTGCAATCTAGCCACTGCCTGAGCATCCTCATTCTTAACTGTTTCAGATTGCGCTTCTTCAGAGCAATCTGGAATACAGGGTTCTCGTACTACTTTCGATTCTCCTGCCTTCACTACAGGTTCTACCATTTCATCTTTATGTTCATCTCCCTGCGCTGCATTTTCGTCGGTTTCTGAGTCATCTTCAGAACGTTCACTCTGTTCAGCGCTCATACCAAATGAAGTATCCAGCAAAAGAGCGGTAGCTTCAAAGCCAAACAGTCAGGCTTTTTGATAGTTCCTATTTAGCACTAGAAGCCACGAGGTCAATAGGATCGAAATGACCTATGGGAACATACCATCGGTCCCAGACGTGTCCGCACTGTGCACACGCGCTGCACCCCAGGCAGCCGAAGTATCCATTGGCCAGAGATTCGACAAAATGTGTGACCGTGATTGGGCTTCGTGGATAAACAGCACACACAGCCATCCACACATATTCGGATACTTAATGGCGTGTGCTGCAGCACAAAATGTGTGCGTGTCAATCAAATTTCTTCTTAAGAAAGCTGTATGAAAATTCGTTTCTATAGCGGAAACATTTGGCTGTGTCTGTCCAAACATTAAGGGACTCTGACTTCCGTAACCGAATAAAGTATCAAGGGTATAGTAGCGTCCAACTGCTCCGTCAGCTGGTCTTAACAGCGCGGCCTAACCTCTGACATGGAGTTGTGTGTGATGAGTCAATATACGAGGGGTGTTCAAAAAGTATTGAACTTTTCTTAATAAGAAGTAATCAGAAAAAATCTCACCTTAGTCTCCTTTAAAATGCTCCCCCTGGGTTGACACACATTCCTCTCGACATTTCCGCCACTGCAAGAAACAGCACCGGCATACTTTTGGAGATGGTTTATAGATGGTCCACTGCACTATGCGTGATATCTTCCCTGGAATGAAAGTTGAACCCTTTGAGAGACATTTTCGGTTGTGGGAATAGCCGAAAGGCACCGTGTCGGGTACTGGGAGTAGATAGTCTGTCGAAGCACTAATTTGTTGTGTCTGGCCAGGGAACTCCTTATCAAGTTTGAAGAATGTGCCGGTGCATTATCGAGATGGGGCTGCCAACTGACCGTTGCATACAGACCAGGGCGTTTGCGTCTCACGGCGTCACGAAGGGAACATAGAACGGATCCAACGCTGATGGTGACCGCTTCCGCAAATTCTGGGATCATGGATCTGCGATCCTCCGTCACAAAACCTTTCACTTTGTCAATGATGATCTCATTTTTGGCTGTTGATGGCCTATCAGACCATGCTTCACTCTTCGCTGATATACGGCTTTCTTTGAAACGATTTACCATTCTTGTATCCGCGTGGTGACCATCCTTGACGGCGGAACCCTATATAATCTTGCTGATGACTTCCGTCAGACAATTGTCACGCTTCACACAAAATTTGATGCAGCAACACACGCCGAGGACGCGAAAAGTCAAGCTTGTTTTCTATCAAAAGTATTTATCACGGAAATAAACACCAATTATATGATACATCTAATCACAACGTCTTTTCTCGCAGTTTCGCTGAAGTGCTGATGGTCCCAAGTTTGAATTGGTGTCAGCCTTCCGGTCATGTGATGTGCGATGGCCAAACGCGCACAGTCTGACGGATGCCACTGATAGCGCGGATGCACTTCCAGGGTGTGCGTATTCTTATTGTGCTAATGTCAGTAGCTGTAGTTTTGAACCTAACTACTCTCATCCTTACTGGTAGTGTCCACTATGCGTCTTTCACCTATCCGCTGTGAGGCTGGATCTCGATACCCTACACTTATGCGTCCATGGATTAAACGATTGAACTTCGGTGTTGAGTAGCTCTTGGGGAATCAAAAACAAAATCTGGGCGAATTTCAGAAATCATTATTAAAAGGAATCGCAGGGAGCTATGCTTGCGTATACTCAAGAGCTTTTAGTACAGCTTCTGCTGTGATGGATATGTGAGTGAGTTGTGGGGACAAAACAACCATCTTCAGAGGGTTAAGTGGCCGCCGATCACACTGAAACGTTGCAGCAAATTGTACGCGCAAGGTATTCGCCGCCTCCTTCGGTGTCCGTGTGGGTTGGTCCGCTGTTTACAGAGGAGGATTTCCCCGTTTCACCATACCTAGACTGTTGACGTGTTGATACAGTAGCCTGTGGTTTGAAGCCATGCGCAATACCAACTTCTGCTGGTACGCCACCTTGTCCCCGCAAACAAGCTGAGTACAGTGGTTACGTTGTGTGGTATAGGCCATGCAGTTATCGGTGCTCGGGGAGAGTTTGTAGGTATGCTAGGCTGCGTTTCGCACCACTAAACACTTGCGTATCCTGCTTCGCAGAAACGAGCCCACTTTTCTAAGGAGGAAGGTCTTAGTTGCTGACGCTCCGGCAACTAGAGAGTTAAACTGGCTGCCGAAATGTTGTCATGAACTAGCTGCTGCGAGAAATGTCCAGTAAGCTCTCACCTAATCGAGCTAATATGTCGTAGCGTGCATACACTGTCGTTGCGTCTGCAAATTCCACCGGAGATTTTGCATGTTAAATGTGTTCGAAGAGTAGTACTGTATGATCGTTGCGCCCCAATGGGATGTCGAATATCTCGCCCATTAGTTCTTCTTTGGGGAACATCCGATCCAGTATGGAAGGCATATCTTTTTCTCGGAATCGGGTAGGAGTGTTAAGGTGGCCATACAGCGGGTAACTGAAGATGAACTCTTGTAGATGGGCATTAAACTGTTCTGCGGGAGCTTCTTGGGATTCCCGAGCGGGGATCATGAAGTCGCCAATAATGAGGATGTGACAGTAAGTTGCATTTATCATCATCCCTATTGCGCATGCCAGATGGGAGCCCATCTCTGGCGTGGAGAAAGGAGGACGGCAAATGACCGCCACTAAGTAACTGTCGTCGCTTTTTAAACGTAGACGGCACCAAAGGAAATCGTGCATCATGCTGACTGGATCATTTTAAGTGCACATTGGAGGTCATTGTGGAAGCACAGAGAAACCCCTCCACCTTTGCTAGGTCTGTCGTGCAGAAAAATTGACATGGCAAGCAGTGCGATCTTTATGTCACTTACGTCAAAAGGTAACCATGTCTCGGTTATAGCGATGAAGTCGTAGGCTTTTGCTCCTTGAAGCAGCCGCATATCGGAAAGTTCTCTCACTAAGCCTTGAGCGTTGGTATACAGTTAGTCCGATGACCGCGTTCCTGTACCTATTGTGGCTCAGTTATGGCGAAAGCTGACCATTTACGGTTGTTGTCCCTACCATACAATAGTCACTCAATTTTTTGTGAAATTCGCGAAAGACTACTGAGTGTGCAGAAACCTGAAGTTCTCTCTCACATTAGTGGTAAGGAGGGATGCAATGCTCGGCAGACGAGTGATTTAGTGCAGGGCCCAGCTGACTGTATGCAAAAGCTGGTGAAGGACAGGCTATATGAGCCTTTTTTGGTCATCGAGCGCGATGAGTACAGACAGCCACAATGTGTTTCTGGCGGTCGTTAGCTGTCAGCTACCTACGCGCTAAGTGCCGAAGCTCATGGCTAACAGTAGGCGTTGGAGCGATCGATGGTTATCTGAGTGTGTCTCGGGGGCTACGCAGCGAGGTCGGCGTAGGCAAGATAAAGCGCGCAACCAAAACTGCGGCGTGAATGTGCGCTTACCAGTCATAGAAGCGATCATCGATGAAGTAATGATGGGCTACCTGGAAAGCGTCGGCGATGCAGTGTTGGGATGGGTTGGTAATTTTCTCCGTGAACAGCAGTTAGAGGTAAGACTTCGAACATCTCTGCCGACCCTTATCGAGTGGAGTGCGACGATATTGCGAGAGCCATTACCTCAAAATTCTAATTTTCCGGATGACGTTAAACTTTGGCCGGCAATCAAGAAATTGGACGAACACAAGATCCTCCATGGGCGACCTAGATTGGACCTGGCATTGACCGGTGAGGAATTCACTGCCATTCAACGTGTACAAGTTACACGCTGATCACATCCGCCATAGACACGCCTATCGCTACAAAACTGGGAAATATGACCTGCAGACAAGCCCTCCAGAACTTGACCCCGGTGTGCCGGTGCAGGACGACTTCGGTTATTCCAGACAGTCGGAATCCAAAAGTGGTAACCAGCATGTTGTTAGCTTGCGGATGGCATCCAAAAGTTTGGATTCATTCATCTTCTCTAAGGTGCTCCATGCATACGTGTGTTAACACGTCGAATACGTAATCCAGGCTTGGCACGCTTGGCTAAACCGTGACCTTGCCGCGCTCGGAACTCACCGTGATCAAGCAACAAAATGAGTCAAGAGATTGTGCGAGCTTACGTACCAGCAGCGACTAAAACACCCGGGGTGTTCAGTACACGCTACAGGTGTCTACTTGGAGACCTCATATTAGTCTACCAGATACGGAACGACCACACTTACACATGTTGTCACCTACTGCAAATCATCCCGAACACCAAGTTCAGAGGAAATAGCCTGAAACTGAGTCAACAACACAGCCGGCTTTTCACTAAGGCTGGACGAATCTCAGCTCATAGCGACCCAGTGATTCCGCTATATGTAGCCATCGAAGGTTTCGTTGCCTACGCTGTTTATGTGCTCAACGACAGCCTGAACGATAAGAATTCTATCCGACCGGACGCATCAGTAGCACCATTTGCCAGGTTAGTCGTTAACACATTTGTGAAAGAGCATAAGTATATTGACAGAAATGTATTGGAACGACCATCTATGCTAGTGAAGGATATGTTCAAAATGTCCGCCGGTATTCTGCTTGCAGTGCAGAAACCGCTTGATGTATTTGACGAGCATTTTCTCCAATGTATCCCTCGTGATCGCGCGACATTCGTTCGCAATATTTTATTTCATTTGATCCAATGTACCCGGCCTTGTTTTGTACACTCGCCGCTTCAGATAGCGCCATAGAAAAAGTCCAGAGGGTTCAAATCTGGTGAGCGAGCTGACCACTCCATTGGTCCACCGCGTCCGATCCAATTGTGGCCAAGTTTGTCGTTGAGGTAAACACCACCATTTTAGCAGAATGTGTAGGTGCACCATTCTGCTGCCACCAGGTGGTATTGCATGCCCATTCGGCCTCCAACTGGGGAAGCAAAAATGTCTGCAGCATTTCCAAGTACGACGATGCTAGGAAAAGATAAGGCTTTAGTACTTAAAAAACACAACCTACCGGTC